ATTCTCCTATTAACCATAACTCCGCAGTCAAATTCATGTTTCGTTTCATGGCAGCTATAATACAGGGCGTAATAACCTGTAAGGCAATAATATCGGCTTTGTATTTCTTGAGTACATCCGCCAAAGCGAAAACTGCGCCTGCTCTGTACAACGTGCGCACATTCCAAGTGCAGATTCGCAGATCGTGGTCCTTTATACGTTAGCGGGTTCATTAACATTAGGAGGGTTTTGTTTTCTTTTTCGTAGCTTTTTCAAAGTAGGAGGGCTTTCCGACGCCTCAACACATTTTTATAGTTCTTATGGGTGAACTCGCGGCACATATCAGCTCCCTATTTCAACGGATGATGAAAGTAGCTACCCAGAGGGAAAAAGGGGACAAAATTCCAAAATTACAGTCGTCTCTTTATTGGGGGGCTAAGTTAAAACATGGATGTGGACATACATTTATTTTGTGTATAAATGTATGTCCACATCTAAGAACCTAAAATACAAAATTAGAGTCATCCTTCACCGAAAATTTGACGGGAGAGATGTCACTCTCCAAAAATGCTAAATGCCACTTCGTTTGAAGAATGCGCCTGAAATCTCAAAATACCACACGGTCAAAGTCTTAAAAGATTTAAAGATTATATTTTTTCTTCATTCAAAGTGGCTAAACTGCTCGGAGGTCTGTAGTTGACCCGAATTCGACTTTTGACGTCAGTTTCGTGCAAGTAGCTATCTCTAACTAAATTATTATCTAAAATTGTCGCTTGATATAGGCACTTAAGAGCGCTGGGCATTAGAAAATTATCTATTCGACTTAAGTCAATGGTATTATATACAACTCTATTAGCAGGCAGTCGCCAGATTCCATCCACACCTTGTACTGGCCTTAAGCCCAAACCGCAACATGGTTTCTAATATTCCATGGTAACTCCATCTGACGGCCTTAAGCATTTGCTCTCACTGAGCCACTGTATACACACTGACTGTGTGTGTATGTTTGTACGTCAACATCAAACAATACAGGTAGATAGACGTAGTCAGAGCACAGAGTTTAGTTGCAAGTGTGTGTTAATGATATTGTCGATATGCTTGGTGTTTTGTTGTTGTTGCTGTTCATATTTTTTACTTCGTCTTAAAAACTTCAAACAATGAAACCAACATTCACACAGATACTCTGACAAATACATTTGCTACGCAAACTCAGCGCAAATGAAGCTACAAAACAAACACCTGAAACCAACAGCAACAAAAAAGGCAGAAGTGGAAAAATGAGAGCACAACAAAAAACTGATCATAATTATTTCACTCTTCACTCAGCAGCGGAGAAGAGATCATCATCTGTGTGTGGATGGGAGTGTGGTTGTAACTTTTTTCTATGTATATTTTTTAGCATCTGTTTTTTGTTTATCTGTCCAAACCTAAGCTGTCATCTTGTCTAAGCCGAGAGAAAATTAGTTGTATCTTTTACATCCGTATATCGTAAATTAGATATTATGCTGGTTTTGATTATTTTTTACGCTCTTTCGCATTGAGAGTTGAAACGTTGAGAAAACGGTAACTGAGAAGTGTTTCAAATAGAGATGCTATACGTTGAGGTTAGGCAATTGGGAATTGATAGACAATTTGGAATAATTTGTTAGCCGGCATATCGTGCAGATACCAGCATCACACGTATCATCGTCAAGTTGCGAAAGAATCATTGGTCGTGGTCCAAAAACAGTGATAATTTCGGATATCAGGCGACACTTGAAACCTATTTTTTCAAAGATGGGAACTCCAGATGCAGCTGAACATCAATAATAACACAAGAGATCAGTATCAACAACTAGTAAAACTGTATCTGTGATAGAAGACTTAACAAGTTATCCAAAACTGGTGTAGGCGATTAAAAATTTTCAACATTACAAATCTACGGGACCAGATGGAATAATATCTGCAATGTTGCTGCATGCCTCAGATCCGGTTTTAATAACACTGAGGGAGATGTTCAGGGTCTGTCTAAAGTTATCATTCATACCAAGTCTGTGGAGAGAATTAAAGGTGACCTTCATTCGCAAGGCTGGGAATCCTTGTCACACTTTACCGAAAGACTACAGACCGATTAGGTTTTCTTCCTTTCTGTGGAAACCATGGAATGGTTACAAAATATTGATATCAGGAAAGAAGTACAAAGCCGATATTATTGTCTTACAGGAAATGCGATGGAAAGGAACTGGCGAAAGTAAATAAGATTATTGCGCCCTGTATTATAGCTGCCATGAAACGTGACATAAATTTGGCTGCGGATTTATGGTTAATAGGAGAATAAAAGATCTCGTCTCCAGATTCACTCCAGTGGATGAGCGAACTGTTATAATCCGTATAAAAGCGAAGTTCTTCTACATCAGTCTTATTTGCACCCATGCTCCGACGGAAGACAAAGATGAACAGACCAAAGACATTTTTTACGGGCGCCTAGAAACTGCATATGACTGCTGCCCTGGCCATGATATTAAAATTCTGCTAGGAGATTTTAATGCAAAAATCGGAAGGGAAAATATATTTCGATTGATTGACTTCGCGGCAGCAAAAAATGGTAGTTAGCAGATTCAAGCATCTCGATATACACAAGGCCACCAGGATTTCTTCTGATCAAGCAACGAGAAATCAAATTGACCATGTTGTGATCGATGCGAGGAGCGAACTACTACCTTGTAGCAGCCAAGGTTCACACTCGTGTTAATGTAGCAGCAAAGTTGCGATCTAATGTAACACGGAAACTCGACGTCGAAAAGCTGCAAACACAACAGGTAGCCGAGGCCAACTCCGCTTAACTTACCCACCTGCTTGACGAAAGCACTTCTTCTCCCGATTATAGTACAGAAGCACAATGGCAAAGAATTACCCACTCCCTACAAACTGCTTGGGTACCAAAAACCACCACCAAGAAACCCATGGTACGATCAGGAGTGTCGTAATGCTACTGAGGTGAAAAATGCAGCGCATAGGGCAACCATGCAAACAGTGGCAATACGCACTACGACAGAGAATTATCGGACAAAAAGGAGAGAAGAGAAAAATATTTAAAAAATATAAGAAAGAACAAGAAAAGCGTGAGCAAATCGAGATGTCAGAATGAAGTCCGGAAATTTTACCAACGTGTAAAACACCAAACCGAAGGCTTTGGGGCAGGCACTACGTCCTGTAGAGATTAAGAAGAAAACCTGGTGATAGATACAGACAGCGTGTTGAGGATTTTGAAGGAGCATTTTGAAAAGCTTCTGGTATTAAATAGTGGCGGTAAAAATAGAAACTCCAGAACCAATAAGAGATGACGGTATAGATTTTATAACACCTATCCTAGATGAGGTCAGTATAGAAATTAATCAGCTTAAGAATAATAAAACAGCAGGTACCGCTGAATTACCAGTCGAACTATTGAAGACAGGTGGTCAGATGCTAGCCAGGAGCGTGCATCAGCGGATTTGTACAAATTGGCTAGAGGAGTGTATGTCCAATAATTGGAACCTCAACATCCTGTGTCCCGTGCACAAAAAAGGAGACAAGACGATATGTACCAACTATATAGGAATTAGTCTTCGTCCCATCCCATATAAAGTGCTATACAATGTGCTGTGTGAACGACTGAAGCCAAGGGTCAATGACCTGCCAAATCCACCATAGACCAGATTTTCACTCTGGGCCAAATCCCGGAAAAGAGTCACGAAAAACACATCGACACATTCCAACTATTCGTCGACTATAAAGTCGCATTCGACAGCCCTATCCGTTCAGAGGTTTTTAAAGTCATGTCTGCGTTCGGCATTCCAGCTAAATTAATACGGCTATGCAGGATAACATTGAGTGGCACAAGGTCAGCAGTTAAAGTCGGAAAGGACCTATCGCAGCCCTTCTATACAGAACGAGGATCCAGACAAAGTGACAGTTTGTCGTGTGACCTATTCAACATCCTGCTGGAAAAGGCCATACGAGAGGCATCGCGATGTCATCGCCTACGCCGATGACATCGGCATAATGGATCGAACATTGAGAGCGGTAACAGCCACCTTTGAACAAATTGAAAAGGAGTCTGCCAAAGTGGGTCTGGCAAAGTGGGTCTGGCAGTAAACGGCGAGAAGTCCAAGCTGATATCAACGCGCAAGACGTCCAGTAGACTCGGACCAACTGTGAAACTTGAAAACTACAGCTTCGAGGTAGTGAAGGGATATAGCGAACCTACTGATGCAGTTCAAGCGGAAGTGGAAGACAACATTTCGAAGAGCAGCGCACAAAACCGACGCGCCTTTAAATCTTTTTTAAGCTCGGCTTATGGAACAAATGTTCTGCCTCAAGCCAGCGACGTAAGAAAGCCGCGGAACTATTTTTTTTCGATAGTCAAGCAACACTTAAAGAAATCAGGTTGTGGACTATAAACCCTAGGGTGATAGTAAATTAGCAATTCGGAATATACGGCATTCCAAGGCATAGTGATATAAAGGAAAATGAAGAAGCTGTAGAGCTTGTTCGATGTGGATCGCAGTCAATCGAATTAAGAATCTAGGCATAGGACCTCAAAATCTATTTGGCCATTTTCCAAACATAGAACTAAGTCATTAATTTCTATGAGTAGGAAAGAGATAAGAACAATCATAGGGATCAAACAGGTCACTGCGAAATCAGATCTCTTTTTTTGAAAATGGGAAATTAATGAGGTGGATTATTGTCGTCTATGTGAGGATGAAGAGGAAATAGAAACTACCGAATATCTACTTTGTCGATGCCTCATGCTTCGATGCGGAAGACAAACTTTTTGCTTCAGTCCAGACAGAAACGCTAACCCTTTTTTCCAAAATATATTTGAAAATCATGTACAGCTTTGCTAGAAAATTTATTAATTGAAATTAGTTTTTCAACGATTTGGTTGTAATTTTGTATATATTCGGTTCTCATTTGGTCCATGTTTAAAATAATAGCCCAGTTTTAATCATATTTCCTTTTTAGATTTTAAATTAAAACACATTTCAAATTTTTATAACAAAAAATGGCAACAACTCATTTGTTTTATTTCTTCTTGTGTTTCTTTTTCTTCTTTTTGTCAGATTTCTTCGACTTTTTACTTGATTTACGATTATGATCTTTGTGTTTTTTATGTTTATGATCCGATGAAGATTTCTTTTTCTTTGATTTTTTAGAACGCTTTTTATGTTTGACACTATTGTCATCTGAACTTGAGCTGTCACTTGATGTGCTGGAATCATCGGAACTATCAGAGCTATCATGTCTGGAAGATTTCTCTACCCATACTTCATTTATATAACCAGAGGGTTTATGTTTATTAAATAATTCCAAAAGTTTGGCATCCACCGAGGCAGCAGATGTGGAAGATGATGATGGTGGGGACACCTTTTCTTCATTTGTTTTGGGTTTTGATGGCAAAGCGGGACCATAAAGTTCTGAGGTGGAGTTGGTAGTTGTTGAGGAAATGGAAGATGAAAATGTGGAATTTGCATTGGCAACCTTGGGTTCCCTTGATGATTTGGGTTGAAAGCGAATTTTTGTCGGTTCATTTTCGGGTTTGGATTCAATAGCTTTTTCTTTTGGTTTTTCCACAACAGTTATTGTTTCCTCTCTTTTTTCTTGCTCTTCTTCTGTGGGCTTTACTGTTTCCTTTACATTGCTAGTGGGTACATTAAATAAAGCCTTGAAAATACCCCTGGGAGGGGAGTTATTTCTCAGCAAATTTGCCGCTGCTGCATTTAAAGGTTTACTTAGGGGATGAGAAATATCACTTGTGAGTTGAGAGGACATATCCTTCTTTTCTTCTTGTTTTTCTTCTTCTTCTTCCTGATCACTTTCACTATCCGAAAATATGGATTTAAATAGTTCCTTCTTTTCGGTAATTGGTTTATCGAAACTTTCCACAACTTGTTTTTCCAAATCTGTTTTGGGTTTAAAAACAAAATTGGATTTTTCTACAGTTGTTGTGGGTGTTGTTTCTGTTGCTTTGCCCTGCAAAACATTTTCCCATTCTAAATTGACAGTCTCTTCCTTTTCCTCTGTTATTTTGGGAGTGTCATTGTGTTGTTGCTTCACCAATTCTTGGGGTTTCTCAATATTCTTGGGTATAATAACCGGAGTTTGAAAATCTTCCTTTCGATTAACTGAGGTTTCCAAATAATCAAATACAGACATTTTGTTTTTACTTTTGGATTTTTTCTTTTCATCTTCCATGAGACCACCATAGGGTTCGGCAATATTATACCGTTTGCATAGCAGACTGTGGGGTTTCCACATCATCTTGGTGCGTTCCACCACAATGGGTTTGGAGGTGTCTTTTTCAATTTCAGCAACTTTTTGTTCAGCCTGTACTTGGGATTCGGTAACAAATCTAAAATAAAATAAGAACAAATGGTTTAAGGACATTATACAGGCATAGTTAAAAAAAGAGGACCCTATAAAGGCGTAGATGTTTAAAAAATATTTTTTTGATTACCCTATATAGGCGTGGACTTTAAAAAAAACTATTTTTTTGAGGACCTGATATATAGGCGTGGATTTAAAAAAAATATATTTTTTTGAGGCCTGGATTTTTACAAAGTATTTTTTAGGCCCTATATCGGCGTGGATTTTTAAAAAGTATTATTTTGAGGACTCCATACAGGCGTGGATTTTGAAAAAAATATTTTTAATGACCCTATATAGGCCTGGATTTTTACAAAGTATTTTTGAGGACCCTATATAGGAGTGGTTTTTAAAAGGCATTTTTTGAGGACCCTATATAGGCGTAGATTTTTAAAAGGCATTTTTTGATGACCCTATAATAGGCGTAGATTTTTAAAAATTATTTTTTGAGGACCCTATATAGGCGTAGATTTTTAAAAGGCATTTTTTTAAAAAGTATTTTTTGAGGACCCTATAAAGGCGTGGATTTTTAAAAATTATTTTTTGAGGACCCTATATAGGCGTAGATTTTTAAAAGGTATTTTTTGAGGATCCTATAAAGGCGTGGATTTTTAAAAATTATTTTTTGAGGACCCTATAAAGGCGTGGATTTTTAAAAAGTATTTTTTGAGGACCCTATATAGGCGTAGATTTTTAAAAGGTATTTTTTGAGGACCCTATAAAGGCGTGGATTTTTAAAAATTATTTTTTGAGGACCCTATATAGGCGTAGATTTTTAAAAGGTATTTTTTGAGGACCCTATAAAGGCGTGGATTTTTAAAAATTATTTTTTGAGGACCCTATATAGGCGTAGATTTTTAAAAGGTATTTTTTGAGGACCCTATTAAGGCTTGGAGTTTTACAAAGTATTTTTTGAGGACCCTATATAGGCGTTGATTTTTAAAATATATTTTTTGAGGACCCTATAAAGGCGTTGATTTTTGAAAAGTATTTTTTGAGGACCCTATAAAGGCGTGGATTTTTAAAATTTTTTTTCAAGTTTTTAAAATTACATTTTCAATTAATTTTAAAACCATATCTTCCTCACCTATCCGACATAATCCCTTTCAAAGGTCGATATAATTTTTTCGCCTGTACAAATTCCTTCCTCTCCATTTGCCGATCCCACAGCGACAGCTCTATGGGTTGGATATCGTTCAGAAAGGCATCTATCTCCGAATCGCTTTGTAAATTGGCTGCCAAGAATTTCTCATAACGTTTCTGTTTGGCTTCATCATTGGCGAAAGGTTTGAAGGCCGAAGAAATTTCTTCAGCTGATAAAGGTGGTGCCGGCTTCTCTTCACCCTCCAGCGTTATAATACCTCCCCTCTGAAAACTGGAAGATTTAGCCGAAATTTTCTCCAATAAATCTTGAGTTTTTTGTTGACGTTGCTTTTGCTGCCTTTGTAGCTCCTCAATGGTGGGCTTTACCACAGTTGGTGGTACGAAATTCCCCTGCTCTTTTTTCTTGATTTCTTCACCCAAAAGTTCTGCTCTCTTTTCCCTCGTCATTTCCGTTTCATCCGACTGCTCTTGAGGTTTAGCAAATTTTCTATCCAATTGTCGCTGTGATCTCGGATCTAATGGTTCGAAGCGTGATCGTTTCTCATACCAATTTCGTGGCTGCCAACCAAATGGTACTTCGATTTTATATTCCAAACGCCTTTCGGGATTCAAATCAATGTGGAAATCTTCAAAAATCAATTCATCGGGGGTTAGAGATTTTTTCGATTTCTTGGGTTTCTTTTTATCTTCCAAACTGAAATCGTAACGTGCCAAATCATCGGTGGCATAGACATCTTCATCGTCATCCTCCTCCAGGGCACCCACACCAAATGCCTGGCCGGCAAAGGAGATTTTTTGATTATTTTTACCCACCATCTCAAGGGGTTTGAATAAATTGAAATGTTCTTTTGGGCCTGTTGAAGTAGTAGATGTTTGACTACTTCCACCCAATACTGAATGGCGACTTAGGGGTTTATAACCCAAACCATAACGATCTTCTTTAACCCCATACGGAATGGGTTCAAAATCTTCGGGGGCAAATGTTATGTCATTCTCATCAGAATCTCCATCGTCATCATCATCCTCCTGATCATCGTCGTCGCTATCAAGCCCGCCAGCTTTATTTGTCGGCAACTCACAGCCATATTTTTCCAATAGATACAATTCCTTTTTGTTACGTTCTCTGGCTTTTTTCTTTTCCTTGCGTGTTTGACGTGGACCCAAACCCTGGCCCGGTCTCCAACCCCATGATTTTAATATCCTTACGGATACTTTATCCTTTACCGGCCTTAATAACTGTTGCAATACCGGTTCTCCTGGTATCGCCTTTAAATCACTTTGTAAAAATTTCCTTTTCCTTTGTTCTTTAGACGTCTCAGGGCCGGTGTAGTCTTCTTGTATTTGCAGGCCTTTGGGTGCTATACCAAACTCCCCCAAATCTTCATCATCCATAAAATCCTCCGGACGTTGGCTATGCGGCCAGAGGCTTTTTCGGAACGTGAACTCTTAAATGATTGTGGGGTCCAACCTTCTTTGGAGCCAACGGTATTCCAATATCCGGCACTAAAACCGCCGGTAAAGGCACCGTGGAAGCGTCGCCTTCCCTGATCATCGGTGGCTATTTGATCTTGGACATAGACAGGTTTTTTAGTGGGCACCACCTCATCTGCAAGAGGAAGATATGGTATGAGGAAATTTTTTTCAAACGTGTGGGAACAACTTACCAAACTCCAGCATTGGCAGAGGTGTGCCATATTTGTGCAGATCCACATCGGAAGTCATTTTTTTTTTTTATTCTATATTTTAATAGAAATTGTGCAGGAAGAAGCACCTCCTATTCTGCCTCTCAATCTTTACAAATAATGCTTCATTTTACTTAACATTCTCATTACAATGATAACACATACGGCAAACGTTGGCACTCCAAGTAAATTGGTGACACAATTTACGAATGAAGAGAAGCCGAAAACGTATAATGTTATGAATGGGGAATTGGCATAACAGCCGATTAAGGTTCATGTTACGAATTTGGAGAAAGAAATAAATGAGAGACAACATGTTTTCTCTTTCATAACAAGTAATGTGAATTTAGCGTTTTTTACATTTGTTTATACGTTAAAAAGGCATTTGCAGTAGGACTTATATACAATGGAATTGACTATATAAGCACACTGGGTTAACGAAATCTGGTACAATGTAAACGTAAACATACTATAAGTTTCATGTTACTAATTTGGGTAATGTTTTAGTTTAAAAGTTATAAATGTATATGGATTTCCAGCAAGGGGTGTTATTTTGAATTATCCGGTAGTATTTAATTCCATTATCAAACACAAATAGATTTTTCTTCGTTCTATAAGTCGAACTTAAAACTGATTTAAAAGTGCGTCGGTCTTGTGCGCAGTTCTTCCAATTTGAAAGACCATGTCTCGATATGTCTTTCCATCGAATTCATGGCCTTCCCCTTTCTGCGTGACCCTTCAGTGGGCTCGCTTCTATATGCCTTTTGAGTTGGGGCATCATCATCCATTCTCACAACATGACCTAGCCAACGTAGTCGCTGCAGCTCGATACTTCTGGCTATGTCGATGTCCGTGAATACATGGTACAACTCATGGCGAATATGGCCGTCGACGCAGATCAGCTCATTGATCTTCCGGAGAATTTTTCTCCCAAACACTCCAGAAGCTGCTTCATCTGCTTGCGCAAGTATCAGTGCTTCAGTATGAGCTTCTTGTAGAGTGTGAGTTTGGTCAGGCGAGAGATGGCCTTGTTTTTAAATTGCTTACTCAGACCATAGTGGCATCTGTTGGCCATCACTATTCTTCTTCGGATTTCAAAGCTGATTTTAATAGTTTTGTTTATGGCGGTACCGAGGTATATAAAATCGTTCACCACCTCGAATCTGTAGTTTTTAAGTTCCCTTGTTATCCGAGTCTACTGGACGTCCTGAGCTTGGTCTTCTCGCCATTTACTGCCAGTCCCACTTTGGCAGACTTCTTCTCAATTCGTTCAAGGATGGTTGTTACCGCTGGCAATGTACGATCCATTATATCGATGTCGCCGGCATAGGCGAGTAACATATGATGTTTGGTGTACAGAGTGCCATTTCTGTTCACATTTGCATCTCGTATGACCCTTTCCATCAGGATATTTAAAAGTTCACACAACAAATTGTCACCTTGTCTGAATCCTCGTTTGGTATTATGGTGCTTTCCGACATTAACTGCTGATCTTGTGCCAGTTAGTTGACGAATAGGTGGAATGTGTCGATGTATTTTTCGTGAGCCTTTTCCAGGATTTGTCCCAGTGTGGACATCTGGTCTTTAGCAAATTTACCAGGTCTGAAGCCGCATTGTTATGGTCCAATAATGTCATTGACCATTGGCTTCAGTTGTTCACACAGCACGCTGGATAGCACATTATATGCGATGGGAAGGAGATTAATTCCTCTATAGTTGGCGCATATTGTCTTGTATCCCTTTTTGTGCACGGAACACAAGATGCAGAGGTTCTAATCAGTGGGCATGTATTCTTCTAGCTAAATTGCACTGTGCATGCTCTTGATCAGCGTTTGACCACCGGTCTTGATCTATCGACACCTGCTGCTTTATTATTCTTCAGCCGATTAATTGCTATTCTAACCTCATCTTGGCTAGGTGGAATACAAACTATACCGTCATCTCTAATTGCTTCTGGGATATCGCCTACACCGTTACTATTTGATACCAGAAGCTTTGCAAAATGCTCCTTCCAGATCCTCAACACACTGTCTGTATCTGTCACCAGGCTTCCTTCTTCATCCCTGGAGGAAATAATACCTCTTTAAATGTTGTTGATTCTAGAAGGAATTGAGGCGTATGCATTTTCCATGTCGTAATTGTGCTATGAATATCTGTGTTTGCCTTGATAGCTGTCTATCCTATGCACCATATGGAAGGAGGATGGTTTTACATACCCAAATGTTCTACTGTCTGAAAGATTACGCCTGTACGACCTTCTTGTAAGTTGTGGTGGTACCTCCGTCTCTGAAAGATTTCTTATACGACATAGCACACTTCCGTATAAACCTCCGTTGAAAATAGAACTCAAAATTCATAGTGTATGTTACAAAATTAATAGATCCAATCTTTCAAATAAATACATTACCAAAATTTTCAGGACATTTCCTTTTAAATTGCATATACTATTATTATTTATTATCTCCCAGATGCTACACTTCCTATAAAACATTAAGTTCTTCCAGCTTGGCTCTTAAGGGATCGTACGAACATGCTCAACACTTTTATTAACCAAGACCGTCGACTCTGGTGGGTTATTTAGTCATACATCAGGTATTCTTTGTTTTTAAGCACCTGCAAGTGTGCAAATCCTGATATCCCTTTACATTCATGTTATTTTCCAAAAGTGCAGGAATCTTCTCATTTTTTACTATTTTTGGCGATATTATTAAGGTTCTGGAAGAATATTTTTCAAAGGTCTTGCAGGTTCTGGAACAGATATTCAATGAATGGATCATAAGGTTTGTACTGGACAAAAATTTGTGGTAAGAATGCATGACAACACCTCCGTTTCAGGTACATTGTAACCATCGCAACACTGTAAGGTACTGTAATGGGTTAGTTTTTCCAGGATCGCAGCGATCATTTCTATTCAGTATGAAAAATTAACAACGTCTTACAGACATAATTGACCATTACTTCTGATCTTTTTGCGAATACCATAGCAGCGTATTTTGGACTAATTTCTATACAACTCCTCAATTTCTTAATCTGAATATTTTTAACTTTTGTCTCTCCGCCACCAAAAATTAAAATTCATTCAAAAAATTTTTAAACTAAACATCTATTTGTAGACCATTCGTTGTCATAGCTGTTTTTTTTTTTACTGGAAATCATTCGCTTAAAAAGTGTTAATTTTACAGTCTATCCCCTCGCTTCTTCCACCAGCTAATTAATATCACTCAAAGATCTATGCCTACTCTACATAATTACGAGTTTTCCAACCCCCACCCTAAACAATGAAACCCAACCAACAGGTAAGTAAACGATATTGAAAATATTTTCCATACAAAACAAGTTCTTTTGTTTCAAAATACAGGTCCGTGCTTATGAAAATATATCAAATTTTGGGAAACCCGCTGCTGTTGTTTTCGAAAACAAACAAAACACAAAATCATTTGTGTTTTGAACGATCTTCGTTGAGCATCACAAAAAAATCGCCGTGCTATTGAGCATTCAATAAAGTTTTGAATTTTGCTAAATATTTTTTTATGTATTATAAAATTTAATATATAATAATAATTTTAATGAAAACAATTCAGTGATTTTGTTTCCAAATATTTTAAAAAAATTATTTGTGAAAAATAAGTGGATAATAAAGTGAACAATAATTGTAAGTAAAATTAAATTATATTTGTTTTTAATATTATTTAGGAAAAAAATAATGGGGACATACTAATAATAAAAATAATACAGTAGACCACGGATATAAAAAGAGCTTATATAAAAACCCGTATTTTTCACCTATGTTATATAAAAAACATTCACATAAGGAAAACCCGCTTAAAGGAAATTTCTCGATTATTTTGGATGTTCATATATTCGTGGTCTACTAATAATAATAATAGCTTGTAATAATTATAAACGTTATGTTATAATTATCCCATAATTATACACATATATATATATATATATATATATATATAATTGAAATATTAATCTTCAAAATATTTATATTAAACTCAGGGCAACCCTGTGATATGACGTCATTATATATTTCCAATGATATTCAAACATTTGTTTATGATAGTGCAACTAACCACAAACCCCCCAAAAACAGCTGTTCCCTAATTTCAACGGCGTTCATTTGTATACCGACCGACAACGGTGTAAAAACTATTTATCGCAGGCGATTAATCGCAGTCGATATTTTTCATTTGCTAGTATCATTTTGCAAAAAAGAAAATTATGAACGTTTTTTATTTGTAAGCAAGAGGATTAACTATTTAGAAAAGAAAACAAAACATTAAAATTTTTTGCAATTAAAATTCAAGTTAAAAAGCAACACAAGAAGAGAAAAACAAACAAAAAAGTAAGTCTGTTCACAATGAAACCTGCCAACGAAAAGAAGGCCTCTTACCAAAACAGGGGGTAATGCTAATGGAGGTTTGTCTGTCTAATGCAAAAACGAACGAAACAGGGCTGTGACTAATAATGATGTCAATTATGGCTAGTTGGCAGAAACGTAAAGAAACTTGGTTAACCATGGCTATTTTCTATTTCAGGAATTTGGGTTTATTGCGCTGTATCAGAATAAAATAGATTACAAGGCATACAACAAACCAGCAGGCTGGTGTTGGGAATTACCAACAAATTCTTTGAAAGTAAGGAAAACAACGGGAGATACGAAAGGGAGTTCATTGGCCTGGTATTTATTTGTGTTTTGTTGTTGTTGTTAATAGAATCGAGATGATGACCCGTTACATCCTACCACCACCACTACTACTACATCTACCAACCTCTCTCTAATCCTTTGTTGTCTACTTTTAGATTGTTGTTGCTGTCTGTGAAACTGTCTGTGTTACAAAAACACCTCACCAGCAATGTCGGAGAAAAACTTAAAAGTGGGAGCTCGCATTGAGCTGACGGGCAAAGATCTACAGGGCACCATAGCTTTTGTGGGCATGACTAGTTTTGCTGTGGGCAAGTGGGTAGGTGTTGTTCTGGACGAACCAAAGGGTAAAAACAATGGTTCCATCAAGGGCACCACATATTTCGAGTGTTCCGATAACTATGGCATGTTTGTCAGGCCCACACAATTGAAAGTGATACAACCGGCTCCGGATACATCGAATCGCAAATCGACCGAGGATGTATCAGCGGCCGATGGCCTTAAACATACCGCACCTCAACCCACTAAAACCCGGCTAAGTATGTCTCGTCCATCGTTGACGGGCAGTCGTCTGTCGTTGAGTGGTTCCCGTTCCCAGTTGACGGAGCGCAGTGGTAGCACGGCCAGTACAACCAGCCGCAAAAGTTTGGCACCACCCACAGCGACCACAGGCCTTTCCAAGGAAGCATCAACCTCCAATTTGTCTTTGACAAATGTGGGCACCGGTGGTGATGTAACACCCAATAATGGTGGCAAAAAGAACTCCTTCGTGGAAACCGGTTTTGTGGAGATACTCAAACCCCAATTCAATGCCTCCCAGCCGATGCGTTCTCCATCCTTTACCTCACCACCGAATCAAATGAATACGGCAGAGGATAAATCCAATCTCAATGAACAAAAGAAACTCAACGAAGAGCTGCAAGCCCAGGTGGCGGATCTTACCGAAAAACTGGAAACCCTCAAACAAAGACGTAACGAGGACAAGGAACGTTTACGTGATTTCGATAAAATGAAAATACAATTCGAACAGCTACAAGAGTTTCGTACCAAAATTATGGCTGCCCAGGCTTCGTTGCAAAAAGAGTTGCAACGTGCCAAACAAGAGACTAAGGATGCCATAGAGGCCAAAGAACGCCACGCCCAAGAAATGGCAGAACTGGCAGATAATGTTGAACTCATTACATTGGACAAAGAAATGGCAGAGGAAAAGGCCGATACATTACAATTGGAATTAGATTCTGCCAAGGAGCGTATCGAAGAGCTACAAGTCGATTTGGAGCTATTGCGTTCCGAGATGCAAAACAAAGCAGAGACTTCGTTTGGTTCTGTGGGCGAGGGTGGTCCATCCGTGTATGAATTCAAACAAATGGAACAGCAAAATTTACGTCTCAAAGAAACATTGGTGCGCCTGAGAGATTTGTCAGCCCACGATAAACATGATATACAAAAGCTCACCAAGGAGTTGGAAATGAAAAAATCCGAGGTTGCTGAGCTGGAGAGGACCAAGGAGAAGCTGTCGGCAAAAATTGATGAATTGGAAGCAACTGTGGCTGATTTGCAGGTTAGTGTTTTACAATTGTTTTTGTAGATGTTTAATGTGTTGTTGTTCTTTGTTTTAGAAAATGCTTGTAGTTTTTTTTTTTTTCAAATGAGTGACAGGAGTGGGGGCCTCTAGGGAAATTATGAACGTTAGATTGTGTGATGCACTCGGTGAACATTTTTTAAGGTTTATAGAACATTATAATGTAATGTGTGAGGTCACGTACATTTGCTTGCCAAATAGTTGACACACTACATGGTCGTTGTACAACAACTACAACTTCTTACGATGCAATCATATCGTGCTAGGCGATAATTGTTCCAAAAAAAACTTATAATGTAAAGTAGAAGACATTATTTGATAATCTCTTTTATATCAAATTGAAAAATAATTTGGCTTATCTTATCAGCTGAATGATGGGTACTTAAGGTCAAGCATAGAATTATAAAAAATAATTAAGAAGGGCTAAAATGATATTGTTGTTGGGAAACATTATCAAGTCAAGAGGTTGTTCCTATTTTGAAGTAAAATAACATATGTGTAGATTTTTTAATATTTTTGAACGTAAAGTTGGCGTATATTTTTGTTGAATATTTTCAAAGAACGCAACATAAGCGTAGATTTTTTAAAAACATTTTTTTTTTTAATATTTTTATGAGCTTAACAACATTTGCCGTAGATTTTTAAATTTTTTTTGAACCCAACTTTGGTCTATATGTTTTTATACCCTTCATCACACTGTGATACAGGGTATTATTTCTTTGTGCATATGTTTGTAGCTGGCAAAAGGAAACGAGATAGAGACATGGTTCCATAGATACACTTTCTGAGTCGATATATGCATGTCCGTCCGTCTGTCAATGTTAAATTGTAAACAAAGTACAGGTCGCATTTTTTAATGAAATTTGGCACAGCTCTTTTATTTGGCCCAAGGACGAACCGTATTGAAATTGGTAAAAATCGGTTCAGAATTAGATATAGCTCCCATATATATTTTCTTCCAATTTTAGGTAAATGGTGCACCAAAGTCCCTATATATCCTTCGATTTGCACGAAATTTGGCATACCGTACTGAATTAAGTCTAGAATGATGAATGATAAGTTTCGTGAAAATCGGTTCCGATTTCGATATAGCTACCATTAATATTCGTCCGATTTTATGTAAATGGTGCGCCAAAGCCCCTATATATACTACGATTTGCACGAAATTTGGCATAACGTACTGAACTATGTCTAGAACGACGAGTGTTAAGATTCGTGAAAATCGGTTCAGATTTAGATATAGCTCCCATATATATTTTCGTCCGATGTTATGGGAATAGTGCACCAAAGTTCCAGTATATAAGCATGCCGATTTGATAAAGATCGGTTAATATTTAGCGGGTCAAATGAACCCTGACTTTTGTGTGAAAGATGACAAAATTTGTAAATATTTACAGGTGAACGTAAATATTTACAGGTGCTTACGTATTCATATATTACAGTACAGACTTAGCTAAGCGATTTTTCTGGAATATACGAACACAAAAAAGTTATTCAAGATAATCCTCTAAGCTCTATACCAGATTTTATATAGAAGTCATAACTTTTTAATGGGCTAAGGTACTTATTTATCCTTCTTCGAAATCTGGTTGCCAAATCTTTTCTATTGACTCACTAAAGTAAATCTAGAACTGACGATTAGCATTATTTTTCATTATATATAGATTTTTTTAGGAATTCATCATAATATTTTTTTCGCTTTTTAGAACTAATTAAATATTTTAGAGGCATATTTTCCTGATTTAATTTAAATTTCTATCATTTTTGAATTATTTTCATATTTAACTCGTTTATGTTTTTGATTCACAACAAATAAATTCCAATATCCATTAATTAATTACTTTACCTTTTTCTAATTTTGTTTGCTAACGAATTGGGTTTTGAAAAAAATCATTGATTGATAATAGGAGGTAATGGCGAAATTGTTATTTTTGTTTTCCCTTTTTAACCTCCACCAATTATTTTCTTGCGTTCAATACACATTCAACATTTTCAAAAACACAATTAAAATATTATTTTTTTAATTTATTAATTTTGATTTCTATTTACTTTCCCAGGAACAAGTTGATGCCGCTCTGGGAGCCGAAAGCATGGTTGAACAGTTGACGGATAAAAAATTCGAATTAGAAGATCGTGTAAAGCTCTTGGAAGAAGAAGTGGCCCAGCTGGAAGCCTTAGAAGAAGTCCATGAACAGTTGATCGAAAGTAATCATGATTTAGAAATGGATTTACGTGAAGAGCTGGATATGGCACAGGCTGCCAAAAAGGAAGTACTCCGTGAAAGAGATGCTGCCATTGAAACCATATATGATCGTGATCAAACCATTACCAAATTCCGTGAATTGGTACAAAAGCTGAATGACCAATTGATTGATTTGCGCGATAAGGCATCGGCAAATAATGATCAAAAATCACTGCAAGATAATCAATTGAAGATTGCCACAGAATCGGTGGACTACAAACAAATGTTTGCCGAATCAAAGGCATACACTCGGGCCATTGATGTTCAACTTCGACAAATTGAATTGTCACAGGCCAATGAACATGTCCAAATGCTTACGGCCTTTATGCCCGAATCGTTTATGAGTCGTGGTGGTGATCATGATTCGATATTGGTTATTTTGTTGATATCACGTTTGGTCTTCAAATGTGGCATTGTCATTAGCCAGACACGAGAACGCTTCCCAGCTGTGGACAATGTCACCAAGGAGTCGTTGACGCAAGGCCATAGCGTTCAACAATTTGCCTTTAAGTGTCGTCTAATGCATTACATACACAATTTACAATGTGCTTTGCATCAGATTCTCTATGGTTTGAATAGCTGTCAACCGGATACATTATTGCGTGCCGGTTCCTCTTTACCCGAAATGATTGCCCAAGAGAAAACAATTGATGGCATTATTGAATTGTTGAAATCCAATCAATTGGATGAAAATTCGACCACAGATAATATTGAAAAGTGTGTGGCCTTCTTTAATGCCATGAATTCGGTGCTATTGGCCGGCGAAGATCTGCTGAATGAGGCCCAAATGGTAAGGGATAGTGTTGCTGCCATTCAATCGGCCTGTGAAAGTGTACTCACCGATACCGGTATTGCCAAGGTTATTTTGCGCCAGGAAGGTTCGACCAGTGATGCCGCTTTGCTGCTGCAATTCTTGGGCGATAACATTGAGTCCATTAAGCAACAGGTTAAACTGATCAAGAGACGTTTGCCACAAGATTTACATGTTGTGAAGTGTGGTATCTCTCAAACCAAGTTGGAATTTATGCGCCAGTTAACACATGCCCTGTCACGCATTATGTCCGCCCTGCACATGGCCAACAAACAATCGCTAGCCAGTATTGTGGCCACAATTGAGGGCGACAGCGATAGCGACCAATGCATTGATCCCGTTAAATATTGGGAATTCCTTTCCCAGGCCTGTGAAAAGATCTATGAACAGGATGATCGTGGTCCATCACAGAATTTCAAGAATATTTTAAGCCAGGCTAACAGTGATCTGCAATCGATTGCCCAATACTTGCTGGACAAGGAATATGAAATCATGTCCATGGCTAACCAGAAGCAGGAGAAACCCACCTCACCCATCATACTGAGGGCTCAAATGATCAAGAAGCAGCTGGAGCAAAAGAATGTCTTGGCTGCCACATTGGAAAATCGCGAGGCTGATATAAAACAATTGAAATTGGCGGCCAAGATGAAACAGAACGAATTGTCGGAAATGCAGATACGCAAAGACCTGGCAGAAAAGAAATTGTCCGTGCTACAGGCTGATTACGATTCGGCCATGCAATGGAAATCGAAATACGAAGAAACGGTGGATTTGCTGAAACGCAAGGAGAAGGAATTCGAGGAAACGCTGGATCACCTGCAAACCGATATCGACACTCTGGAGAATGAGAAACGTGAAATCAAGGAAAAGATTAAACGGCAAATACCCGACAATACATCACAGTTATCCACCACTTTGCCTTCGGGTCACTCCACAAATACTTCCTTCTCATCGCACACCACGGGAGCCACACCTCTCATTGCCGAGGAGTTGCAATTGTTGAAACATGTCTTTAACAGTGAGCGTAGTGAACGTCTTCGTCTACAGGCCGAACAGATTAAGAGTAAACTCAAGAAATTCGATCCCATTTTCGTGCCACAGCCCAAGGATAAACGTATCATTGAATTGGAGGCTGAGCTAACCAAAATGAAACATGCCTGGGCGTTATCACTACTGCAGACAAGTCCCAAGGCCACAAAGGACAGTCACAATTTGGTTGCCATGCAACGTAAACATATGCCCATACCGGAAAAATCGGAAATTTCAAATAAGGCCACACATTTGGCAGCGGAAATTTTGCAAGAATATTTGCAACGTCATCCGCACAGGGCAGCGGCCAGTGAATTTGGTGTCTTTCCCACGGTAGAAGTTAAGAGGGTATTGCAATTGTAAAAACGATGGAAGAAAGTAACAACAAAACTAGAAGAGAAATCTATACGTAAATTTGTTTATAATTGCAAAACGAAAACATAACCTCACAGCACAAAAAACAGAAATTCTAACAGGTTGAAACTATTTAAGTTAGAATTGGTGAAGGGTAACAAACAAAAAATTCCTGGCAGCCTGTAACTCATGTCTTACCTCAAACATCCCTTTTGGCCCTTCAGCTAAACGATTTTTCTTGAATATACGAACAATTCTAAACGAACGAAAATCTATTCAATGTTAAAATCACATAATTTTCCTTTGTTGTGCATCAAATATTCTAAAAAAAAGTTTTTTAATATGGCAATTTGGCAAATTTACATTATTTACATTATTATTTGCTTTATATACTCAATAATATTTAACAACAATTTTAATTAATTATATTTCTCATAACTATATATTTTTCCAATTGATCTAAAAAGATGCTAGTGGACTGCTTAGCAGTCAATCAATCGGTCATTCATTCATTAATTTGATTTGTGACACCTTATCTCGGTATTAAATTATTTTGTTTTTCTTTTATTTAAAAATGTGTGTAACGACACTATTTATTTAATTTTTTGTAATAAACAATAAATCATGTATTAAACAAAAAGTGAAAACAAAAACAAGTGTGACTAACTCCAAAAAGACATTTTATTCTATATATACTTATATTTAAAAAAAAGAAATGAATCAAGTGATGAAAAATTATTCAAATATATGTATATTGTATTTTTCTTTAAACAGCTTTCTATTTTAATTCATTTTCTGTTTTCAGCAATTAGGGCGATTTAAAGAATCTCCTTGGATCTGGTGAAAAATAATCAATTTTTGTTCTCAATAAATTAAAATGATACCGATTTTTGATGGATCGTATGTAAAGTTTGGTAATTCAATAAGAAAAAGCAGAATCTTGTTGATGCGTATAATTCTTGCTTATCTAATATCCAAGTTTTGATTTCCTATCATAAAAGAAATCATAACATTCGTATGATATATGGCTATGTATCTGCTTTAATAATAGCCTTAGTTCAAAGTAAAATTATAACGCTTTTTGCCAGACCCATGGTACAGTCAAATTCGGTTAATTGCGATCCAGATTAGCAGACGGACTTTGGTAAATCGGGCCCAAGTTGTAAAAAGGATTTGCTCCAATAAATCACCTTACCTTACTACGATAACAATTTTTCCTCTATAAATCGAAGAAAATGGTAAAAATTAGTAGATTCTTGCAGTACGGAAACAGACCCAATGTCTGTTCCAAAGCCTGCAAGAATTTACAACTTTTAATTTTAATTTAATTTTTCTTTTATAAGGGTCGTACCTAATTTATTGCGCTACGTACAAAAATACTCACCTTCTCAACTTTATAGTGAGAATACGCAAGAACTTTATATCTGTACCAACTGAAAACGGCGAAAATGGATGAAAAAAAATTTTTAATTGATCGAAAAATATTTACATGTATAGAAAAACTAATTTTTAATGATTGAAATTCTATTTTCAAAAAACAAAAAATCCAAAATACGCATTGTCAATGTTGAAAATTTTCAACTTAATATTTTGATACGCAATGCGTATTTAAGAACATTCATTGAAATACATTTATTTAACTTTTGAGGTAAATAAATTCGTACGCAAACGCATGAATTTAGGTACGACCCTAATGTCGAAATAAATAGTAAAAATTAGTACATTTTTGTAGTAAGTGAAGAGACCAATGGTTTGTTCCCGTACTGCAAGAATCTACTAATTTTTACTATTTTTTTCGATATCATGATGGAAAAAATGTTATCGTAGTAAAAAATTGTACATTCTTGCAGGTTCTGGAACAGACCACAATTTTTTTCTATTTATCGAAATTGTTTTCAGTTTTCCTTTAAAAATTAGCACATTTTAAGTACGGGAACAGAACATTTGTAACGTTTTCAAAAAAAGTTTACCGACATCGACGACATCAAAATAGTGCCGGCTTGGTTATTTATTGAAACCTCAAACATTTTTCAATTTCATTCGATGTGAAATAGACCTATAAATTTTGGTTCAATTATATCGATAAAAGAAATAGAAATTGGAGCATAATAATGCGATATTTCGAAAGGGCGTCGCTAGTGGACATCGAAAATGATGGAATTAACTGAAGTTCGAGGCTAATTACGCTGCTGACAAATATAACTAAGAATGTCATTATTATGAAAATAAAAAAATTGGAGAAAAATGAATTTATATTCAATTGTTGAGAATTATTGATTGACGATGGCATTCAATCAAACTTGAATGGCCAACAAATACAAATTTATTTAACAAATACGTTAAAATTTCGGGTAATTGTGCTGGGAAGTAATGGCTCAAATCTATGGGAATGCTGCGAAAATCAATAGATATCTGCCATTCCAAAAATGGGAAATAATTCAAATATTTGTGTGTGCGATTGATCACGGCATTCAACTGCATGAAAAATAACTTGAAAACGTGAACGTGAGAAAATCAGCAAACGTTTTGATTTGTCAACACAAAATTTTTGCCCATTTTATTAAATAGTCAAGGATAATAATATCATCAATAGTACGTGTAAAACAATGTAATGCAGTCCCCTGAGGATGGCCTTTTATTTTCATCTTTTCAGATACATCTACGTAATGATCCACCAGAATTTCAACGAAATGTGTGGACTAAAAGTTATATTTGAGGCATCAGCAAACAGCCACTTGTTTGCTTAAGACCTTATGTTATAATCAATTCATATATTTGTCAGTGGACAAATTCAAGCTCACTGGCCCGAGATAAAATGGAACCTCTTAAATTTATTTCACATTACGATATCCTTAAACTTGTTTAAATAAAGTTCTCCAATAGCAGTTGAACCTCATGGACGAACAATGGGACTTTTAGTATTCTGGAATTTTGGGTGCTAAAATTACAAATCATCGAAAATAGTAGAATAATAGTCATGCCGCCAAAGATAAACATATCATCTTATGGTTCTTGTAGAAGCAGCCACAGGCATGGATTTTTCGTCGGCATAACAATCTTTCGGGATCATATAGATTTGAATCAATATCCTAGAAATCAGTAGATCATTTGCAGCAAAATTTGCATAAATTTAACATTTATATAATTACAAATAATTTGCACCATAAATACTTCCCTTGGACTCTCCTTAATTTGCTGTATTTGAGCTAATATTTTTAAATTTTGTCAAACTAAAAAAACAAAATTGATCGCCTTCAAATAAGAACATTTACTGGCAATGAGGTACGAACTTCAAAATAGTGCCGGCTTGGTTGTTTATTGAAACCTCAAACATTTTTCAATTTCTTTCGATATGAAATAGACCTATAAATTTCGGTTCAATTATATCCTTTAAAGAAAGGGATATTGGAGCATAATAATGCGACAATTCGAAAAGGTGTTGCTAGTGAAAATGGAAAATGATGAAATTACTTGGAGTTCGTTGTTAAAATTCGCTGCTGTAAAATATGTGTCAGAAAAAAAATAAATAAATAAATTGGAAAAGATTCAATTAAATTGTTGAGAATTTTCGGAAGGCGATTGCATTCAAATTTCTGGATAGAAGAAATGAATTATCAATATCGATTTCGTTAGAATTTCGGTCAAATGTGAGGCGATACAAACCATGGCGCAAACCTATAGGAATGCTGCGAAAATCAATTAATAACGGACGCTTCAAAAATGTGAAATAATTCAAATATTCGTGTGCGATTATGATGGCCGCATTCAACTGAAAGCTTGAAATCGTGGAAATGTCGATTAAATAGTCAAATAGATAAGTCGACATTCAAATTCGTGAGAAAATCAGCAAATGTTTTGATTTGTCAACAAAAATGGTGCACCCGTTTAGTTTGACATATTAATATGTAATTCCATTAGACTATCGCAATAATAGCACCAACGATAGCCCCGATGGCCCCAACGATGGCCGTTTCAATTTTCTTCAGCATTGGCGATACTTTTAGGTAATGATCCATCACACTTTTGGGACAATTCTTATCCATTTCCGCTTTAAAATGGGTATTGTTTTCCTGAATGTAACGCTGTTGCAATATGATTTAAATAAACGATTCCGTTATACCTGTGAATAGCCGAATATATTTCCAGGACATTTGTTTGTTTACTTTAGTTCATCTACACATGGACTTCAAGCGGTCGTTATCCATTGTTTATTATTGATTTGACTTGGCTTCAAAAATTTAATTCAAAATTTGTATTTTTTTCAATTTGTCTTTTTTATTTTTATAATAATGACATTCATATGTGAATTTGTCAGCAGCGCAATTTAGCATCGAACTCCTGGTAATTTCATAATTTTCCATGTTCAATAGCAACGTATTTTCGATTTATCGCGTTATTATGCTCAAATATATTTTTCTTTTAACGATATCAATGGACCGAAAGTTATAGGTCTATTTCATATCGAAAGAAACTGAAAAATGTTTGAGATTTCAACAAACAACCAAGCCGACGCTATTTTGAAATTCTTACCGTCGATGTCGGTAAACTTTTTTGAAGACGTTACAAATTCTTCTGTTCCCGTACTTAAAATGTGTATTTTTTTAAATGAAAATCAAAAACAATTGCGATTAATAGAAGAATATTGGTCTGTTCCCGTACAACATTTATTTACTATTTATTTCGATATTATAAAGGAAAACTTGCTATCGTAGTAAAAAATTGTAAATTCTTGCAGGTTCTGGAACAGACTTGTAATGTCGAAATAAAAATAATAAATAAACAGATCAATATTCTCCTGCTAATTGAAATTGTTTTCGATTTCCCTTTAAAAATTAAAAAAAAATACCATATTTTAAGTACGGGAACAGACAATTTGGAACGTCTTCAAAAAAGTTTGCCGACATCGTCGGTAAGAATTTCAAATTAGTGCCGGCTTGGTTGTTTATTTAAACCTCAAACATTTTTCAATTTCTTTCGATATGCAATCGATCTATAAATTTTAGTTCAATT